TTCACATACATCAGGCTGTGTGTTCATCAAGATAATTTTGGAGGGTGGGCATGACAAGTATGATTATCATTTTCCTTTTCTGGAGGAAGAAACCAAACCTCAGTGAGGCGAAGAGACTTATTATCCAAAGACATGGAAAGAATTTGGTGGGAGACCTGGGACAGGAGCCTGAGACACTTAGACTCCAAATCCAATATTCTTTTTAGTCCTAAGACTGCAATAATCAAGCTTCTGGTGATAACCTTTAAAGTAAGCCAAGGGAGGGGAAAGTAGCAAATAAAAGGCTTAAACTACAAAATCCCAAGCTATGAGCCATGTGAGAAAGCAAACCTGAAAATGAACCTCTCCCCTGGGTTTCTAAACATAGTGTGACTTGCCTGTAACTGATCTTGTGTATTACAGATATCTATCACCCTGTTTACAACAGATCTATCTGGACACTAGATGTCCAGACCGTTAGATGGGAAAAAGTTATATCAGATGTTACATTCTTTAATGGTAAAAGGCAATTTATTGTCTTGATTACTAAAGTAGAAAACAGACATAATATTTCAGGGGTTACAGTTATTTTGTTGTAATGAGGGCTATGTTAAGCTTGGTGAGATTGTTATTAAATGCCTTCTATTATATCAATATATGAAAAAATATACTAATTGTTCCCCATTCACAAATGCATTTTACTTCTAGAATTATAGAACTTGGTTAGGAATAAAGTACTTATCTTTAATAGAGTACTTATCTTCAATAAAAATTGACTACACATACACAGAGGTATTTTCAAAATAAAAATGTATAGTGAATGTATAAGGAAATGTATGAATGTATTAGTAATGTATACGGAAGACTTAACTGTGGCTCTTTGAGACAGAAGGTTGTTTGAGCAGATGTCTGAAGCTTCTAGATTTTATGATCCACAATAAAAGATACAAGACACAGAAAAAAGTGCACTTCTTTTTACGGGTTAAAAATGATATCATGCTTCTATTAGTAAATAATCTACATCATATCCAATGTTAATGACCAATGTCACTAACACTCTCCATCCTTGATGTTCATGTGAATTCTTTAAGCAGGTCTCAGAGGTTAGCAGAATGACATACTGTGTGCTAAGTCGTGGGATGGCTTACCTCCCAAAGCAGCCATGGCACTTGCCCTCCTTTTCAATATAGTTCCACAGGCCGATGGATTTTCCATTCAAGAAGGCCTCTCCAATGCAGCCTTTAAAATGAGTAACCTTCACAGCAGGAGATTTCTAATGTAAACAAACAAACACAACTCACATAGATTTGATGTAGAGGAATAAATTCTCTAGGTTCATGAAATTTCTCCCTGGGAGCTTAAATCTAAGAGATCCAAATTTTTAGAGAACAACATTCAGAAAAATGGCCAGTTTGTAATCACTGGATTTTCTTCCACTTATGGAGTGGAACTCTGGAGTGACAACTGGACAGGATCTTAAAGATCATCTCAGCTACCAGAGATGCTAGAGAGAAGCCCCTTTTACAGGTGAGAAAACAGAGTCCTGGAGAACGCAGTGAGTAGCGAGGGCCCAGCTGGAACTGAGATCCTTGCTCCCACTTCAGAGCACTGGATCAGGCCAAGTAATTCAACTTTACTTGGTGAAAGGATCACTGATATAATAAAATAAATATGATGAGCTCTTCGCTAAACACTAATTAGTATTAATCTGCCAGTAGACTTACAACAGAGATAAAAGAACTTTATGGAAATTAATATGGAATACTGAATTTCCTGTTTCCTCATTGGAAAAGAACCCCAGATAACAAAATGAACCATTGGCTCCTTCTCCATTTACACTACTGACTAAGCATGATCCTTTACCCTACAAAACAAGCCCAGCTCTGCAGATGAGCTGACATAAAGAAAAATAATAAAAGCATATAGTGGATTGACTCACGTTCCTCCCAAACTCACTGAAGCTTGAATTGTGTCCCCCAAGTTTTATGTATTAGGAACTTGGTTTCTACTGTGACTGTTAAGAAGGTGGGAAATCTTATTATGGTAATTGAGAGGTGGAGCCTTGAAGAGGTGGTTGGATTGTAGGACCGTGCAGTAGTGAATGGATTAAAAATAGTGGTCAGGGGCGTGGTTCTGAGGGCTTTAAAAGAAGAGAGGAGAGTCTGTCTTTCTCTTTCTCTGCTCTCTCTGCTTCCACCATCTTGCAATGTGAGACCCCTGGGTCACTGTCACCACCACCAGATGGACTTTGGACTTCCCAACCTCAGGGACTGTAAGCAATAAATTTCATTTTTCTTTATAAAATACCCAGTTCCATATATTTTGTTATAAGCAACAGAAATGGACTCATACAAAGCAGAAAAATCTTCATCTACCCAGGATATATTCAACAATTTAAGCATATTAATTTTATATACAGGTAAAATCAGCCAATCAATTCTGTTCAGATAAACTTTCAGAGTGTTACCTTGATTTGTCCTCCAAGTCCTCCAACAAACATTAGGGTTGAATTGTTTATATCCAGAACATCAGCTGTTCCAGGAGATTTACTTGTTTTTGTTGGTGGCTTTTGAGTTGAGCTCATTTCCTTTACACTCAACGAACCAGTGTTTCCAAACCTAAAGGTCACAAAAAATGGCAAAAGGAACTTTCAGAATTTCAAGGTGGCATACACACATCCCCCTGAGTCTCATACACAGCCTCCCCCTGATTCTCTCAGGTCCACCACAACAGCCCCCCAACGGGTCCCCTGTTTCTTGTCTTGCCCACCATGCCCCCAAATTTCTCCCCAAATCATGAAGAATAGTTCTTCTGAAACAAATTTCATCGCATTACCTCCTTGCTTAACATACTTACAGAACATGGGCTAAACTATACTTTAAGACAGTCTATTGCCCTCAATATTACCCTATTTTGCAAATAACAAACAAAAAAATTCCCAACAGCGCGCCACCAATAACAAACCATAATATTAAAGAAAAGTGAAAAGAAAAACATACTTCAAGCTTTTTAAAAAAGCATCTTGAGTGAAGCTTCAAAAGGAAGAATTTTGCCTTGTATGTGAATTTTAAGGAAATGTCCTCCTCCTCACGTGTTACCTCGCTACCTGCATAGCGCTGCCCGCCTCGTGGCATTTCTACCACGCCACGTTATACTCCTCTTTACTGGGGACTATACATTTTACCTGTTGGCTGCTTCAGATTTAGACTTTCTAATGGTAACATTCTAAAGGTAATCTAAACTTTTATTTTTCTTCTTCTTTTGATAGTTAATTTTGATCACAAAGTTGATTTCTTCTGTAATAAGAAAAGAACCCAAGCTCTTATTTCTGTAATCTAAACCAAGTATTCTTTTTATTTTATTTTATTTTTTTTTCCTTTTTGTCTTTTTTCGTGTCCAGCAACGGATCGCAACCCTCAGTGT